GGGATTTGGGACCGGGACCCTCGGGGCCCTGGGATGCTCCTGGGATTTGGGACTGGGACCCTCGGGGCCCTGGGATGCTCCTGGGATTTGGGACTGGGACCCTCGGGGCCCTGGGATGATCCTGGGATTTGGGACCGGGACCCTCGCGGGGCTGGGATGATCCTGGGATTTGGGACTGGGACCCTCGGGGGGCTGGGATGATCCTGGGATTTGGGACTGGGACCCTCAAGGTGCTGGGATGCTCCTGGGATTTGGGACTGGGACCCTCGGGGCCCTGGGATGCTCCTGGGATTTGGGACCGGGACCCTCGGGGGGCTGGGATGATCCTGGGATTTGGGACCGGGACCCTTGGGGTGCTGGGATGATCCTGGGATTTGGGACTGGGACCCTCGGGGCACTGGGATGATCCTGGGATTTGGGACTGGGACCCTTGGGGTGCTGGGATGCTCCTGGGATTTGGGACCGGGACCCTTGGGGTGCTGGGATGCTCCTGGGATCTCGGATTGTGGCCTCAGAGGGAGGGACATGGGGCGTAGGAGCAGCTCGACCTCCTCCTTCCCAGCCAGGCTGGGCCGGGAGGGCCTGACTGTGGGCTCGTGTCGTGGAATCTTGGAGTGGTTTGGGTGGGAAGGGAACTTACGGATCATCCAGTCCCACCCCGTGCCGTGGGCAGGGACACCTTCCACCCTCCCAAGTTTCTCCAAGCCCCGTCCAACCTGGCCTTGAACAATTCCAGAGGTGGGGCAGCCACAGCTTGTCTCAGAAATCCACTTCAGTCCCTCACCACCCTCAGCATTTCTTGCCAATATCCCATCTAAATCTCCACTTTTCCAGTGGGAAGCCATTCCCTGTGTCCTGTCCCTCCATGCCTTGTCCCCACTCCCTCTCCAGCTCTCCTGGAGCCCCTTCAGGCCCTGCCAGGGGCTCTCAGCTCTCCCTGGAGCCTTCTCTTCTCCAGGGGAACCCCCCCAGCTCTCCCAGCCTGGCTCCAGAGCAGAGGGGCTCCAGCCCTGGCAGCAGCTCCGGGGCCTCCTCTGGACTCTCTCCATCTCCCACAGGAGCATCCCCCACTCTGTCTCCTTCCCCCTGTCCAAAGTCATCCATATCCATAAGTCCCAGCCCCAGCAACACCCAGAGCCTGTCCCTGCTTTCCCATTGGGATGAGGGGGTCCCTGGCTGCAGCCAGTGCCATTCCCAAGCCTCCCCCCCGTTCCCAAGCCCCGGTGCCATGAGTGCTGTCCCCCAGCTCCGGACCAAGCTGTCCTCCCAGGAGATCCAGCAGTTTGCCATGCTGCTGCACGAGTACCGCAACGGGGCCTCCATCCACGAGTTCTGCATCAACCTCAAGCAGCTCTACGGGGACAGCAGGAAATTCCTGCTCCTGGGTGAGTGCAGGAGAGCTCCAGAGGTGGGCACTGGGTGCTAAGGGACCGGCAGTGGGATGGGACTGAGGGGGGAAAGGGTCGGGGCACGGGAGGCCTTGGGGTCACCGCACGAGGGGAATGTCTCAATCCACCACTCCTGTGGAGATTCCTCCTTCCTGGGCCATCTGTCCCAGCCTATCCTGGTTTGAGTCCCTGCCTTGGAGCTGTTCCCTGTTCTCTCCTGGCTGTGGAACACCTGGGAACCTCCTGCCAACCTGGGAGTCTCTCCCAGACCTGGGAACCTCCTCCAGAACAAGGGAACCTTCTCCAGACCAGGGAACTTAATCCAGACCTGGGAACCTCTCCCAGACCTGGGAAATCTCCAGGCCAGGGAATCTCCTCCCAACCTGGGAATTTCCTCCAGACCTGGGACATTTAAATAACCTGGGCCTAAACACCTGGATCCTCTCACCTGGCCTTTACTATCCAAGGAAAAACAGGCCAGGAGTTTAAAATCCTGACAGGATAGGAACAGTTTGTCTGACCACACCCAGGGCCTCCCTCCTGGCCTCTAATATCCAAGGAAAACAGAGCAGGAATTTCAAATCCCCCCAGGATCGAAGCAGTGTGTCTCACCTGGGCCCTGCTGGCCCCTGGGGACACCGAGGGGACGGGGCAGATGTCCCTGATGGGACAAATTATTGGCATAAGCTCAGCAAAGCCGAGCAAGGAGTCAGGTGAGGAATTAGATCCTTTGGAGTTTGGAAAATCCCCCTTGGGCCGGATTTTGCCCTCCGTGGGCGGTGGCTGCAGTCCCAGGTGTGAATGGGAGACCCTGGAGCTCCCTGTCCCCCCAGGGAGGCTCCCGGGCTCTCCCGGAAGGCTCAGGAGCCTCGGGAACACCGTGCAGTGAGAACCCCACGGGTACCTGCCCTGAGCGTCCCGCACTCCAGCCCCTGTCCGTGCTCTCTCCCGGCTCCAGGCCTGCGTCCCTTCATCCCGGAGAAGGACAGCCAGCACTTCGAGAACTTCCTGGAGACCATCGGGGTGAAGGACGGGCGCGGGATCATCACGGACAGCTTCGGGCGCTACCGCCGCTCCCTCGGCGCCGCCTCCGCCTCCAACGGCACCGGCGCCGCCGGCAGCTCCGACGAGCAGTCGGTGCCCTCGGAGGAGGACGAGTGGGACAGGATGATCTCCCACATCAGCAGCGACATCGAGGCGCTGGGCTGCAGCCTGGACAGGGACTCGTCCTGAGGGAGCGGGGCTGCACACGGGGCCGGGACACGGAGCTGCTCCCAGGGGCAACACGGAGCTGCCCCCGGGGGGATCCCGGCCCTCGGAGGGACACCGGGACACAGAGGTGCCTTGTGGGGGGATGTGGAACATGGACCTGCCCCTGGGGGGAACACGGAGCTCCCTTGGAGGGACACCAGGATGTGGAGCTGCTCCTGAGGAGAACACGGAGCTGCCTTTAGGGGAGACATGGAGCTGCCCCTGGGGGTACCCCGGGACATGGAACATGGAGCTGCCCCTGGGGACCCCAGAGTGGCCCTCGGAGGGACCCAAGAACACCAACCTGTGCCCTCGGGTGGGGGGACACAGACCTGCCCTTGGAGGGTCCCAGGACGTGGATCCTTCTGCAGGACCCGGGGGCTCCAGCGGGATGGATTCACTCTCCTGGCCTCATTAACAGCTCCAGGGGCAGGAACGGCTCCGGTGTGGATTTGGGGGCAGAGCTGGATTTGGGGTTTGGGTTTTTGGGGACAGATCTCTTCTGAGCATCGAGGTTTCCTTCCAAGGGGATGGATCTCCCCGGAGGATGGATCTGCTCTTGAGCATCCAGATCTCTTCCTGAGGGGCCGGACCCGCTCCCTCCCCAGTTTACAGTTTGCACAGCAGGTCCCCCATAACTCCCCCCCGACCCCCTAATGAAGTTTTGCCACAATGTGAATCATTTCACCCTCTCGGCCCTGCTGTCGGAACATTCCGGAACGTTCTGGCTCCCCCAGATTCCCCACAATCCCCCCCTGCCCATCCCGGCGGGCCTGGTGGGGGAAGGAGCTCAGGGGGGGCTGCTGGGGCACCCCAGGACCCCCAGAGCTGATCCAGGACCCCCCTTCTATCTGCACCCCCTGATGGCAGTCCCACCCTGAGGGGGGGTCCCTATATGGGATGGGGGGCCCCCAGTTAATCCCACAGCCACACCAGAGGGGTGCTGACCCCTCCACGGGTGCCCGGGGGGGGGATGGGCCCCTCCACCCAGAGGCAGACGCTGACTCAGCAGTTTGGGGGATCCCGCAGCTCCAGCACATTCCAGCGGCTTCAGCCCCAAATCCCCCGCAGTGCCTTTAACCCCTCTGCTCCCAGTGCCCACCAGTTCACCAGCACCCTCACTGGGTGTCCCCAGTTCACCAGCACCCTCACTGGGGTGTCCCCAGTTCACCAGCACCCTCACTGGGGTGTCCCCAGTTCACCAGCACCCTCACTGGGGTGGCCCCAGTTCACCAGCACCCTTAACTGGGGTGGCCCCAGTTCACCAGCACCCTTAACTGGGGTGGCCCCAGTTCACCAGCACCCTTAACTGGGGTGGCCCCAGTTCACCAGCACCCTTAACTGGGGTGTCCCCAGTTCACCAGCACCCTTAACTGGTGTGTCCCCAGTTCACCAACTCCCTTAACTGGTGTGTCCCCAGTTCACCAACTCCCTTAACTGGTGTGTCCCCAGTTCACCAGCACCCTTAACTGGTGTGTCCCCAGTTCACCAACTCCCTTAACTGGGGTGTCCCCAGTTCACCAACTCCCTTAACTGGTGTGTCCCCAGTTCACCAACTCCCTTAACTGGGGTGTCCCCAGTTCACCAGCACCCTCACTGGTGTGTGTCCCCAGTTCACCAGCACCCTCAGTGGTGTGTGTCCCCCCCCTTCACCATTACTGTTACTGGTGTCCCCTTTCTCCCTTTACCCCTAGTGATGTCTTCCCCCCCTCACCCTTAACTGGTGACCCCCCCTCTCCTCCCGGGGTCCCCCAGCCCCAGCTCCTCCTGCCCCTGGAATCTGGGGGTGCTGGAAGCTGAGTGATCCCGGGGACTCACCTGGGGGGCACAGAGGGAGCCCCTCCCAGAGCCTTCCCATTCCCAGGCCGAGAAACTGGGGGCAGGAAGGGGGCAGCAAAGTGGGGGGACCCCGGGTCCCTGGGATTTGGGGAGCAGGAATTCCCTCCCTCAGAGCTGGGGGAGTTCCCTTCCCATCATTAAACCCTTTGGGAAACTGGGAATTTTTGACAGGATCCAGAGAGCTCCTAACAGCTCATGGGGGAGTGGGGGTGTTTTTACATTTCCACGGGAAAGGGGATTAAATTCTGGGAGTAAGGCAGAGCTGCAGTGTCCTGGCAGGTCTCTGCCACACCCCCATTGCCCCCCTAAAGTTGGGGGGGGTAAACCCTGACCCCCAATGGTGTTGGGAGCACCCTGGGGTGCTGCCACCCCTGACCCCCAGCACCATGAGAGCCCCAAAACCTGCCCACCCTGCTGTCCCTCCACCTCCCCATCCCAGTTACAACCCCCTGTGCTGCCCCCCCCCTCACTGCTGGAAAAGGGGCTCCCCAGACCCCCCAAAATCATCACAGGGGGGCCAAGTGCAATCCAAGGGGTGCAGGAGGCCTTTATTGAGCGGTCCAGGGGGGGAGGAGGAGGATGGGGGGCAGGAGGAAGGATCTGGGGGGGCTCTGTGCATCTATACAGGGGGGCCAGGCCAGCCCCGGCCGCTACATGGTCAGTTCCTGCGGGAGAGAGGGCGAGTCAGGGACCCCCGGGGACACCCCAGTCCCGCCGGGGAGGGGTCCCAGCCCCAGCAGGGAGGGTCCCAGCCCCCAGCAGGGAGGGTCCCAGCCCCCAGCAGGGAGGGTCCCAGCCCCCAGCACGGAGGGTCCCAGCCCCCAGCACGGAGGGTCCCAGCCCCCGCACGGAGGGTCCCAGCCCCCAGCAGGGAGGGTCCCAGCCCCCAGCAGGGAGGGTCCCAGCCCCCAGCAGGGAGGGTCCCAGCCCCCGCACGGAGGGTCCCAGCCCCAGCAGGGAGGGTCCCAGCCCCAGCAGGGAGGGTCCCAGCCCCCGCACGGAGGGTCCCAGCCCCCAGCACGGAGGGTCCCAGCCCCCAGCACGGAGGGTCCCAGCCCCCAGCAGGTCCCGGCCCGGCCCCACTCACCATGATGGCGTTGACGATGTCGTTGTTGTTGTGCCGCAGGGCCCGCACGGCTTTGGGGCGGGACACGTTGGCCTGGGCCATCACCAGCTCGATGTCCCGCACCTCCAGCCCCGTCTCGTCCACCTGGGGGGCACAGGGCTGTCACCCCCCCAAAGGCACCCACTGAGAACTTCGGGGTCCCCCAGCACCCATCCCGGGAGCCCCTCTGTGTCCCCTCCCAGGGCACACCACACTGGCCAGGGCCATCCCCAGCTCCGTGTCCTGCCCCTCCAGCCCCGTCCTGTCCCCCCCATAACACCCCACAGGACCCTGGGGGTCCCTCAGCACATCTCAGGGACTCCCCCCGTGCCCCTCCCAGGGCACAAGACCCTAACCTGAGCCACCCCCAGCTCCGCGTCCTGTTCCTCCAGCCCTGTCCCCCCCACCTGGGGGAGGAACAGCTCCGTTACCCCCCATGTCACCCCCCGGGGGTCCCCCAGCCCCCACCTCCTCCTCCTCCTCGCTCTCCTCCTTGATGGCGAGGGCGGGGGCCGTGTCTGTCACCAGGGCCGAGTGTTCCAGCGGCACCTTGAACTTCTCGGCCGCCGCTTTGTGCACTTGCTGGGACAGGTCCTCGATCTGGGGGGCACAGGGGGGTCACTGCCGGCCCCCCCGGGCAGGGACACCCCCACACACCCCTGGGACCCCCGAGCCCACCTTGGCCTCCCCGAAGACGATGTAGATGTCGGAGGCGGGGCTCTTGAACACGTCGGGCTTGGAGATGACGAACAGGATGTTCTTGGACTTGCGGATGGTGATGCGGGTGACGCCGTGGATCTGCCGCAGCCCCAGCTTGGACATGGCCTGGGGGCACGGGGGGCACGGGGTGACCCCCTGCACAGCAGCCCAGGGGGGCTCCAGCCCCCCCAGCGACACCCCAAATCCCCGGGATAACGGGGAAACCGGGATGGGGGATGGAGGACATTGTCCCTGGCACGGCCAGGATGGGACCCCCAGCCCAGGGTGGGGACCCCCAGACACTCCCCAGTGTGGCCTGGAGAGCCCCTTGGAGTGGGGGCTTGAACCCCAACACCCCAGAACTAACCGCCCCAAAAACCCGGGGTGAAATAAGGACCCCAACCCCGTGGGTGTGCCCAGCCCCAACCCCGTGGGCGAGCCCAGCCCCAACCCCGTGGGCGAGCCCAGCCCCAACCCCGTGGGCGAGCCCAGCCCCAACCCCGTGGGTGAGCCCAACCCCAACCCCGAGGGTGAGCCCAACCCCAACCCCGAGGGTGAGCCCAACCCCAACCCCGTGGGTGAGCCCACTCCCCCCCCAGTGTGACCCGGGGACCCCCAGAGTGGGGACCAGACCCCCAACACCCCAGGACTGACCCCCCTGCCCGAACCCTGGTTGGGATGGGGATCCCAACCCCACATAGGGACCCCCCATTCCCTGTGGGACCCCCCGTTCCCTGTGGGACCCCCCACCTTCCGGGCCTTCTTCTCGCTCCGGCTCTGCTTGGCCTTGCTCAGCGGTTCCTCTCCGGGGCCGAGCGCGTGGCCCAGGGGCACCTGCAGAGAGGGGGGGTCAGGGGGGCCCCCAGCACCCCCGGGGGGTCCCACCAACCCCGACCCCCCAAGCCCCCACCTGGGGCTGGGCGGGGGGCGGCTCCGAGCCCTCGGGCTCCTCCAGCTCCGGGATGGACTCGTCGTTGCTCTCGGATTCGTTGCCGGACCCTGGGAATGAAGGGGGGCAGGTGAGAGGGGGCCCCGGACCCCCCAAGCCCGGGGGTACCCAGGGCCCCCCCCTCACCTCGGTGGTTGGGCTGGCAGCGCTGGGGGGCCGGGTCGGCCCGGGGGGTCTCAGCCTCGCTGGACGAGCTCGACTCGGACTGCAGAGACCCCCGGGGGGGCCCCCGGCCCCCCCCAGCCCCCGGCCCTGCCGCTCGGCCCCGGGGCTCCGGCTCCTTCTGCGGGGGGGGCTGGGGGGCTGCGGGGGGACGGGGGGCTGAGCCGGGGGGTCCCCAAAACTCCTCTGGGGGGGTCAAACCCCCTGCTCACCCCCATCACCAACCCCGGGACACCCCCAAAGGCACATCCCCCCCCCGGTGCCCACCCTGGTGCCAAGAAATACCCCGGGAGGGGGGCTGAGCTGGGGGGGGGAACCTCCCATGGGGGTGAACCCCCTGCTCACCCCCACCACCCAGCCGGGAACAACAACCCCCCACCCCCCAAAGGCACTCCCAGCCCCCCCAAGTGCCCACCCTGGCCCCACACAGTCCCCTATGGCAGTGGGAGGGGGCTGAGCTGGGGGGCCCCTAAAACCCCTCCATAGGGCTGAACCCCCCCAGAGACCCTCCCCAGCCCCCCGGGTGATGCCCACCCCAGACCCACGGCCACGGAGGAATCTGGGGGGTGTCTCTTACCTTCGAGGTGCTTCCTGGAGGGGGGCAGCCCCGGGGGGGGCTCCTGGCCGGGGAGGGTCCCGGGGGGGGCCGGGGCCAGCAGGGACACGGCGGCGGGAGGAGGCACTTGGCTGAGTTTGGGGGGCGCAGGGCGGGGGGGCTCGGGGGGGGTCGGTTCCTGGGGGGGCCCCTGCTGAGCCCCCACAGCAGGAAGGGGGCTGGAGGAGACCCTCCCCACCGCCTCCTCCTTCTGCTGCTGCTGCTCAGGGGGAGCTGGGGGGGATCTTGGGGGGCCGGGGGGGCTTGGGGGGCCACCCTCCCCCGGGACTTTGGCATCGGTGCCCCCCTCAGTGGGGCCGGGGGGCTCAGGGCCCGGCCGGGGGGTGGGGGGCTCCTGCAGGGGCGGGGGCAGGTCCCCGAGGGTCCCCCGGGGAAGGGCAGTGACCCCCGGGCCGGCCCCGCGCCCCGAAAAGGCACCGGGTGGTGGGAGCAGCTCGGGGGGGGCCGGGGGGGTCCCCACAAACACCTCCCGCTCCGAGGCCGTGAACAGTGGTGGGGGGGCCGCGGGACCCTCATCATCCTCCTCCCCCTTCTCTTCTGCCTCTTCCTCCTCCGACGGCTCCCCGAGGGCACAGGGGGGGCTGGGGGTCCCGGGGAGGTGTGGGGGGCTGGGGGTCCCAGGGAGGTGTGGGGGGCCCCCCCTGGTGCTGTCGAGGCTGGAGTCGGGGTGGGAGTGAGAAGCATCCGGCGGCTCCGGGCACGAGCCCTCGGGCGAGGCGGTGGCCGCATCCCCCCACCCTTTGGGGGGCTCGGGGACCTCCCCGGGGGGCTGTGACAGCGACCCCTGTGACGGGGGACACGGGAGGGCAGCCGGGGGCTCGAGGGACAGGGCCACCTCAGCTGCCAGCACCACGGGGGACACGGGCTGGGGCAGGGGGCTCGGGGTCACCGGGGCACTGGCCATGGTGGCCACCGGGCTGGGGGTCACTGGGGTCACCGGGGCACTGGCCGTGGTGGCCACCAGGCTCGGGGTCACTGGGGTCACCGGGGCACTGGCCATGGTGGTCACCGGGCTGGGGGTCACTGGGGTCTCCGGGGCACTGGTTGTGGTGGTCACCGGGCTGGGGGTCACCAGGTCAGCGGCCGTCTCATCCAGCAGGGTTGGTGTCACCGGTGTCACTGGCTCGGTGTCCCCGGTGTCCGTCAGGCTGCAGGTCACTGGTGTCACTGGGGCAGTGGCTGCAGTGTCCATCTCATCCAGCAGGGTTGGTGTCACCGGTGTCACCAGGTTGGTGGCCACAGTGTCCATCAGGGTGGGTGTCACTGGTGTCAGCACGTCAGTGGCCACAGCATCCTTCAGGGTGGATGTCACCGGTGTCACCAGGGCAGCGTCCACAGTGTCCATCTTGTCCAGCAGGCTGGGAGTCACTGGTGTCACCGGGTCAGTGGCTGCAGTGTCCATCTCATCTGGTGGCCTTGCCGTCACTCGTGTCACCAGGTCAGTGGCCGCAGTGTCCGGTGGGGTTGGTGTCACCAAGCTGGTGGCCACCGTGTTCAGCTCATGTGGGGGGCTCGTTGTCAGCAGGTCAGTGTCCGCAGCGTCCATCTCATCCAGGGGGGTCGGTGTCACCGCTGTCACCAGGTCGGTGGCCGTGCTGTCCATCGGGTCGGGCGTCACTGGTGTCACCACTGCAGTGCCTGCAGCGTCCGGCTCATCCAGCGGGGTTGGTGTCACCGTGTCAGTGGCCACAGTGTCCAGCTCATCCAGCGGGCTGGGTGTCACCAGTGTCACCAGCTCAGTGGCCGCAGTGTCCGGTGGGCTGGGTGCCACTGGGCCGGTGGCCGTGCTGTCCATCAGGCTGGGTGTCACCAGTGTCCCCAGATCAGCGTCCGGCTCATCCAGAGGGGTTGGTGTCACTGGTGCCACCGTGGCAGTGGCCATAGTGTCTGGCTCACCGGGCGGGCTGGGTGCCCCAGGGCTGGTGGCCACAGCGTCCATCTCATCCAGGAGGATTGGTGCCACACCAGTGGTGTCACCTGGTGTCACCAGGTCAGCATCCACGGTGTCCATCAGGCTGGGGGTCACCGGTGTCACCAGGTCAGTGTCCAGCCCAGGTGTCGCTGATGTCCCCAGGTCAGTCTCCGCAGTGTCCACCAGGCCAGGTGTCACCGGTGTCACCTCCTCAGCGGCCGCAGCGTCCGTCTCATCCCGGGGGATCGGTGTCACCGACGTCCCCAGGCTGGTGGCCGCGGTGTCCGGCTCGCCGTGGCCGTCAGTGCTCCCTGCTGTCCCTGTGCCGAGCTCAAGGTCACTGTCACCGTCACCCCCAGGGCTGTCCCGGGGCTCCCCGTTGGCCCCCCTCGGCCGGTGGCTCTGGGGGTCCCCGGCGCAGAGCCCGGGGCTCTGGGGGACACCGACTGTCACCGCTGGCTCCGTGCGAGGTCCCTGTCCCGGCGCTGCCACTCCAGAACTTTCTGCCACCTCCTGGGGGGGCTCCAGGGGGGACCACGCCTCCACCGTGGGGACAAAGGCGTGGCCGTCCTGCCCCGTGTCCCCTCTGGGCAGTCCCGGGGGGGTCCCCGCAGGCCCGGGGCCCGTCCCCTCTCCGGGGGGGTGACACGGGGACCCGGCGTGAAGGTGGAGCTCGACGCCGGGGGTGCCCGTGGGGGCGGTGGGGGTGCCCGGGGGGGTGCCCGGGGGGGTGCCCGGGGGGGTGCCCGGGGGGGTGCCCGGGGGGGTGGCCGTGCCCCCCGCGTGGCGCTCGGTGCCGTAGAGCCGCTCGTCCTCGTCCCCGTCGTAGGCGGCCGAGTCGGACGAGGCGTCGGTGTCGTCGCGGAAGGCGAAGGCCTCGTCCCCCCCCTCGGGGATGGAGCTCTCGGACAGCGAGCGCAGGAACGAGGCCGAGGTGCTGCCTTCGTCCTCCTCCTCCTCCTCCTCCTGCCCGTCCCCGGGGGGGGCGCGGGGGGAGATCTCCACGGCCTCGGCCTGGAACAGGAGGCTGCCCCGGAACGGGAGCAGCGCCGCCGGGATCAGCCCCGACACCTCGTCCTCATCCTCGTCTTCGTCCTCCTCCGGCGTCTGCCCGTCCTCCTCATCCTCATCCTCCTCGCAGCCCGGGGGGGCAAAGGAACCGGCCTCGTCCTCCTCGTCCTCCTCCTCGGGGGACAGCGGGGGGAAGGCCGGGGGGTCCCCCAGGCCGGGGGGCAGCAGCAGGGCCCCCCCCAGCCCCTCGGGGTCCCCCTCGGCGTCCCCCAGGCCCTCGGCCTCGGCGGCCAGGTTGGGGGAGCAGGACGGGGAGGTGCTGGCGGTGCCCGAGGAGCCCCAGCTGCCGCCCTCGGCCGTCATGTAGGAGCCCGAGGGGGAGGTGGGGGGCGAGCACAGCCCCTCGCTGTCCCCGTCCGTCGGCTCCTCGGGGGGGGGCCGGGCCCCCCCCGCCCGCACCGGCGTCGAGGGGGCCGTGAAGAACAGCTCGGGGTCCAGCGCGGGGGGGCGGCCCGGGGGGGGCTCCTTGGGGGGCGCGGGGAAGGGGCAAGGCACGGGGGGGCCCCCCCGGGGCTCGGGGGGGGAGCAGCGGGTCTCCTCCCCCATGACGATGCGGGTGTCCAGGGGGTCCGCGGGCGGGGGGGGCCGGCAGGGAGAGCCGGGGGGGGCGGCGGCGGGGGGGCCGGGGTCGCAGCTGGCCCCCTCGGGGGGGGGACGGGCCTCCTCCTTGGCCGGCATCGGCGGGGGGGCTGCGGAGAGAGGGGACAGCCCTCAGTGCCACAGACCCCCCCAGTCACCACGGGGAGGGGAGACCCCCCCACCAGTGCCACGGACCCCAGGGCCAGCCCAGGACGGGGGAGGGGGGGTCACCCAGGGAACTGCCTGGGGGGTGGTGTCACCCCTCACCCATCCAGGGGGGAGAACAGGGTGACCCCCACCCAAAGCAGTTGTTTGGGGGGGCTCTCCAGGGTCTGGGGACACCGGGGGGGACACCAGCAGCTCCCCCTCCTCAAACCCCTCTCAGAGGATGGGGGGGGCAATAAGGCTGCAGCTGCATCAAGGGGGGGGACCCCAAGCCAGACCCCCACAACGCAGAGGGACCCCTCCACTGGGTGGGGGGAGCACACCCCCCCTTACAGCCCCCTCTCCAGGGAGTCCCCGAGTTTGGGGGTGCTCAGCCCCCCACTGCACACCCGAGGGGGTGTGGGGGGGTGCAGCCCCTTCTCCCTCCCCAAACACCCCAAAACCACCTTGTGGGACCCCCCCCCCATATTACCTGGACCCCTTTCCCCACTACTTGGGATGCTCCCTGTGTCACCTGGGACCCCTCGGCCGTTACCTGAACACCCCCCATGTCACCTGAACCCCCCCCATATTACCTGGGCCCCCCAGGGGTGGATCCATAGGGAGGGAGCAGCCGAATCCCACAGGCCCCCCAAACCTGCAGCCCCGCCCCCCCGCTGCCCCGGTGTTATAGAGGGGAGGGGGCGGGGCGGCGCGGGGCGTGCCGGGAGGGGGCGGGGCCTGGCGGGGGTATTTGCGGGGCAGGTGCCGCTGCCCCCCCCCCCACTCTGAGATGGTTCGGTCCAAGCCCCCCCTCCCCGCAACGTACTGAAGGAACTCCTGAAAGGTTCCTTGGGGGGGGTCACCCCGCCAAGGGGATCCTGTACTGCCCTTCCACCCCCCCCGAGTCATTGTGGGGGGTGATTCTGGCCTATAACGGGGGGGGGGCTACTGGGACCCCTTTAATGCAGCCCTTCCCCACCCCTGCCTGGCCGGGACACCCCCACACTTTGGGGGGATGTTTTGGGGTCCCCTCGCACTCCCACCTGGCACACGGTCCCCCAGAACCCCTGGAGAGGATGCCCTAATCCCCCCCCCAAAACGGACCCTTATCCCATTTTGGGGTCTGAGCTCCTGAGGCCCAGGGGGAGGTGACACTGGGCTCTGTCCCTTCGATCCCCCCGGCAGGTGACAGTGGCCCCCCCGGGGACATCGGGACGGGGTGACCTTGGGCTGCGCCTCAGTTTCCCCACGCGGTGGTCCCGGGGATGGGATGGTGCTGGGAGGGGGTGAGGCTCAGCCCCCCCGCTCCCCCAAGTACAGGGCTGGGGTGGGGGACAACCCACCCCGACCCCCCTGGGGCTCCTGGGGGTGAGGGAGGGGCGGCCCCGAAGTGGGGTCCCCAAAGTCCCTCCCTGGGGGGCCGTGCCGGAGCCCCCCGGCTGTGCCGGGCCCGGAGCCGCGGGCGGTGGCGGCTGCCGAGAGCCGGGCCCGCGTCCTGCAGCGCTCCCCTCCATCCTCATCCTCATCCTCGGGCTCCGTCATTCCAGCCCGTCCTTCATCCCCCGCTCCATCCTCATCTCTCCTGCTCTGTCCTCCATGGCTCCCGCTCCGTCCTCATCCTCCAGCTCCATCCTTCCCACTCTGTTCCTCATTCCCCCCTCCATCCTCATCCTCTGGGTCTGTCCTTCATCCCCCCGCTCCGTCCTCATCCTCCCATCCCGCACCCCTCCACCCCTCCCGCTCCGTCCTTCATCCCCCCGCTCCGTCCTCATCCTCCCATTCCGCACCCCTCCACCCCTCCCGCTCCGTCCTTCATCCCCCCGCTCCGTCCTCATCCTCCCATTCCGCACCCCTCCACCCCTCCCGCTCCGTCCTTCATCCCCCTGCTCCGTCCTCATCCTCCCATCCCGCACCCCTCCACCCCTCCCGCTCCGTCCTTCGTCCCTCCAGTCCCATCCTCGTGTCTCCGTCTCCATCCTCCCTTCTCCGCCCTTCATCCCACCGGCTCCATCCTCATCCTCCCGCTCCGTCCTTTCCGCTCCGTCCTTCATCCTTCCGGCTCCGTCCTTCTTCCCCCCGAGCCACCCTCGGCCCCCCGCCCCATCCTCATCGCCCCGCTCCGTCCTCGCCCTGCGGCTCCATGGCCCGGTTCCCCCTCCATCCCCCGGCCGGTCCTTCCTCCCCCTCCCCGCGCTCCCAATTCTTCCAGCTCCATCCCCCGGCCGGTCCTTCCTCCCCCTCCCCGCGCTCCCGTTCCCCCTCCATCCCCCGGCCGGTCCTTCATCCCCCTCCCCGCGCTCCCAATTCTTCCAGCTCCATCCCCCCGGCCCGTCCTTCCTCCCCCATCCCCGCGCTCCCAATTCTTCCAGCTCCATCCCCCGGCCGGTCCTTCCTCCCCCTCCCCGCGCTCCCGTTCCCCCCGCTCCATCCCGGCCGCCCCGCTCCCTCCTCTCCCCCCGCGCCCCCCCGGCCTCACCTGCCTCCGCTCCCTCCGGCATCCCGTTCTCCTGCTCCGATCCGCCCCCCCGGCGGATTTCAGGGACTCTCCGGTGTCGGCGCTGCCCGCGGCCCCCCCCGGCGCGGCCCCCCCCGCCGCCCCCCCCCGCTCCCCCCGCTCGGGCGGACGCGGCTGCGGCGGCAGCGCCGGAGCATCAGCGGGGCGGGGGCGGGGGCGGGGGGGGCGCGGGGGGGCTCGGCCCCGGCACCCCGCTGATGTCAGCGGGAATCGCGGCCCGCCCGGCCCCGCTCTGTCGCGATACGGGGCTCGTGCCGGAGGGCGCTGCGGCGGGAGGGGGGTCGGGGGGGCTCAGGGCCCACCCAGCGCTTGCATCAGCTCCGGGGGGGGGGAAGGGGGCGGCGCCCGGCCTCAGTTTCCCCCACTTTGTCTCTTAAAAAAGGGGGCTGAGCCTCCCGCGGGGTCCTGCGGGGACTGGGGGGGGACGCGCAGGGCGGAGCCCCCCTGAAAGCGTCTGCGCGTGTGTGGCGGCAGCAGAGCGGGGAGACGTGGGGGCGTCGGAGGGGGGACTCGGCCTCGGTGTCCCCTCCCGGAGTGGGATTTTGTCCCTTAGAAGAGGGGGTTGAGCATCCCCGGTGTCCGGGGGGGATTTGGCGTGGGGACACCGGGGGGGAACCCCCCGAAAAGCATCTGCGTGTGTGCGGTGACACCGGGGGGGGGCACGTGGCGTGTCCGTCAGCTCCGGGATGGGGGGGCCGGGTGGGGGGTCCAGCCTCAGCTGCCCCCGCGCAGTGGAGTTTTGTCCTTAAAAAGGGGGATGAGCCTCCCGCGCGGTCCTGGGGGGTTGGAGGGGACGCGCAGGGCGGAGCCCCCCTAAAAGCGTCTGCGCGTGTGTGGTGACACCGCGGGGGAGGGGGGCACGCACGGACCTGCGTGTCCCCCCCGTCTGTCACCGCCGGGGGGGCGGGATGGGGGGGACGGGAGAGGACGCGCGTTGCCATGGGAACGGCTCTTCCCCTCCGCCCGTCTCCCTGAGGATGGGGAGGAGGATGAGGAGGGGTCCCTGGGGGACACACACACGACCCCCCCGGACAGCAGGGTGGGAGGGGGGTGATGCCCAGGAGGCACCGGACACCCCCAGGTCCCCCTGCCCCGGTCACCCCACGGCCTGGACCCCCACAGCACCCCCGAGGGACCTGGGGGGGCGAGGAGCTGGGGCGCGGGCACGCGGAGCGCTGCCAGGGCCCCCCCGGGCACTGTCACCCCCCCGGCACCGTCCCCCCCCGCGCTGGCACCGAGGCCGTGCCCGCGCTGCCGGTGCCAGGCACGGGCACGGCCCCAGCGGTGACTCAGCAGCTCCGGCCCCGCCGGGCCCCCCCTGCCACCGTGTGCCCCCCCCGGGGTGGCCGGGTTGTGCCCCCCCTGCCACCGTGTGCCCCCCCCCAGTCGGACCGTGTCCCCCCGTCAACCGTGTCCCCTGTGCCCCCCCCCAGTCGGACCGTGTCCCCTCCAGCCGCCGGTCACCGTGTGGCCCCCCCCCCAGTCGGACCGTGTCCCCCCGTCAACCTGTGCCCCCCCCAGCCGGGCGTGGTCCCCCCGTCACCGTGTGCCCCCCCCCAGCCGGGCTGTGCCCCCCCTGTCACCGTGTGCCCCCCCCAGCCGGGCCGTGTCCCCCCCGGGGGCCGGAGGGGTCCCGGGCCAGGTGGTCGCTAATCTGCCCCTAAAGCCCTTCCCGGCCCCGGGGTGTCACCCCCGAGGGTTGTCCCGAGCCACCTTGTCCCCCCCCCCCTCCGCGCGGGGACACGTGGCCTGAGGGACACGGGACACCGTGGGGGCTCCACGCAGGAGAGACCCCCCCAAACCCCGGTGCCCCTCGGTGCCCCCTCCCCTCTGCCGCTGCTCCCCGGCCCCGGCCCCATCCCTGTCCCCCTCGGGGACAATCCCGGGATAATCGGGAATAAAGGCCAGGTGGCTCCTGATCCCGATCCCGGCTCAGACCGGCGGCCCCGGGCACGGGGAGAGGGGGATGGAACGCGGGGGGGACACGGGGGGCGGGTCCCACCCAGGAGCGGGCACTGCCACGTGCCACCAACACTGGTGTCACCCGGCAGTGGTGCCACCTGGCCCCAAGGTCACCCATCCCCGATGTCACCTGGCCCCAAGGTCACTTCACCCTGATACCTACTGGCACTGATGTCTCCTGTCATTGATGTCACCCGGCCCCAATATCACTCAGCTCCACTGTCACCTGGCACTGATGCCACCCGTCCCCAATGTCACCCGTCCCCAATGTCACCCATCCCCAATGTCACCCGTCCCCAATGCCACCCGTCCCCAGTGTCACCCATCCCCAATGTCACCCGTCCCCAATGCCACCCGTCCACAATGCCCCAGTCACCCAGCCCGTCCCCCCAATGCCCCCAATCCCCAATGCCAACCCCGTCCCCAATGTGTCCCCATTCACCCGTCCCATGTCCCCACCGTCCCCAATGCCACCCGTGCCAACCCTCCCCCAATGTCACCACCCAATGTCACAATGCCCACCCCCCCAATGTCACCCATCCCCAATGCCACCCGTCCCCAATGCCACCCGTCCCCAATGTCCCCATGTCCCCAATGTCCCCAATGGCCACCCTCCCCAATCCCAATGCCACCCGTCCCCTCCCCAATCACCCCGTTCCCCATGCCACCCATCCCCAATGTCACCCAGTCCCCAATGTCACCCGTCCCCAATGTCAGACCGCCCCTCACCCGTCCCAAATGTCACCCGTCCCCAATGCCAACCAATCCCATGTCCATGTCCCCACCCATCCCCCCAATGTCACCCATGTCACCCCGCCCATGTGTCCCCATGGCCCAAACGTCCCAATGTCACCCGTCCCCAGGTCCCACCGTGTCCCATCCCACCCTCACCATCCCCAATGCCACCCATCCCAATGTCACCCTTCCCAATGGGTCCCCATGTACCCAAGCCAACCGTCCCCAAATGCCACCCATCCCCAATGTCAAACCGTGTTTTACAGGTTGGGGTTGAGTTGAGCCCCAGAGCAGCGATGCTGAGGCCACTCGGGGGAACGGTGACCTCGCTGTGGCCACCTGGCCCCCCCTGGGCACAGCGACACAGTGATGTGGCCACCTCAGAGTGGTGACGTGGCCACCTGGGCACGGCGACTCGGCCACCTCGGCGTGGTGACCCGGTGACCTCGGCGTGGTGACCCGGTCACCCTGGCACAGTGACACGGCCCGCTGGCCGGGTGTGGTGGCCACGGGCAGGGCTAGGCGGCCGTGTCCGGGGCCGTGTCGGTGGCCATGTCGCTGGCCACGGCCTTGGCCACCTTGTCCCTCAGGTAGGACACGCGATGCCGCTCCAGCTTCATCTCCAGGAACTCGTAGTGGGACACCTGGGGGGGAAGGGGTGACAGGAGCCCACGGGGGGCCAGGGCTGTCCCCACCCTGTGCTGGGCCCGCCTGTCCAACGGCACCCACCTGGGGGTCCCGGCTGTGCCCCCAGCACGCCCTGAGCCCCGGGGGCCCAGCACCCACCTGGGGGGCCCAGTGCACGCCCAGGAAGATCTCAACCCCCCCCTGGAGGGTCCCAGAGCCCACCTTGGGGGTTCCCAGTGCCCACCTGGAGGGTACCAGAGCCCACCTGGGGTATTCCAGGCCACTGGAGTGCCACCTGGATTCGTGCCCACCTGGTCCGCAGAGCCCACTGGGGTAATTGCCCACCTGGAGGATCCCACCACCACCCAGGGAGACGGTGATGCTGGAGGGGGGGTGACAGCGATGCCAGGGGCTGACAGTGACACTGGGGGGTGACACGTGGCTGTCACCCCCCCCCGGGCTATAATTACCCCGGGGGTTTAATCCTGGCTGACCCGTGGGAGAAGCGCTAAGAGCTCGTCTGTGTCACCTCCCTGTCACCCCCCTGTCACCTGGCAGGTGGCCCGGGGGGATCACAGCGGCTCATCCCCGCTGAGCCCTGGGGAGGGAGGAGCTGGCAGCCCCCCAGAGGGGTCTGTGCCTCCATCCCTACGGAACCAGGTGTGCCCAGGTGGGCGATGGCACCTGGCTGGTGTCACCAGGGTGTGGCCACAGGGACGGTGCCCTGGGCTGGGCACAGGTGAGGCCACACCTGAGTCCTGGGGGCACCTCCCAGGGTGGGGGTCAGGCTCTGCTCCGAAGAGGGAATTGGCTCAGATGGCACCTGGGTACGTTCAGGTGGCGTTTGGGAGGATTTGGGGAATGTTTTCGGAACGTTCCTCCTGGAGAGGCCGGGGGGGTTTAAGTGCCATGTGGATGTGGCACATGGGGACAGGTCAGCGGTGGCCCCGGCACTGTGGGGACACACGGGGGGCCTGGGGGTGCCCAGCCCAGCGTTGCCAGCGTTGCCAGCTCACCTCCACCAGCAGGAAGCCGGCCCTGCGCAGGTGCCGCCGCGCCAGGGCCCCCCGGCCCAGCAGGTCCCGGCCCCGCGAGCTGAACTGCGGGAACTCCCAGAGCAGGAACGCCAGCCTGGGCACACACGGGCACAGGGACAGCGGGCTGAGCACAGGCACACACCCCCAGCCCTGCCATGGCACAGCTGGCCCCCTCCTGCCCCCTCCTGTCCTCCCTCCTCTTCCTCTCCTTGTCCCACTCCTGTCACCTCTTCTCAACCTCCGTCCCTTCCTGTCCCCCTCCTCTTCCTGCTCCTGTCCCCCCCTTGCCCCCACCTCGAGTAATCCCCAAACCCTCACCACCGGGGCACCTCCTGTCCCCTCGGGGGCAGTGCCTTGGTCCCCTCCTGTCCCCTCTCCACCTCCGGGCCCCGAGGGGCAGTGCCTTTGTCCCCTCCTGTCCCCTCTGTCCCCTCTCCCACCTCCTGGCCCCCGAGGGCAGTGCCTTTGTCCCCTCCTGTCCCCCTCTTCTTCCTCCTGCCCCACTCCTTGTCCCCCACTGTCCCCTTTCTGTTCCCCACCCACCTCCTCGCCCCTGGGGACAGTATCTTTGTCCCCTCCTGTCCCCTCCCTGCCTCCTGGTCCCCAGTGGCAGTGGCTGTGTCCCCCCTGTCCCCTGCCCACCTCTTGGCCCCGGGGGGCAGTGGCTTTGCCCCCTGTGAGTGGGGCAGGTGGGGGGCAGTGAAGTCCCCCACGGGTAGGGGTTTGTTGTCGCCGTCCAGCACCACCTCGGCATCTGTGGGGACAGAGGGGACAACGGGGACATGGGCAATCAGAGCCACCCTCAGGGGGTCAGGGGGCTCTCCCTGGCCCTGGGCAGGGAGGTGTCCGTGGGGGATCCGTCCCCCTGTCCCACGGGAGGGGACGGGGGCACTCGGAGCACGGAGGTTGCTGTGGCAGGCCGTGGCCGGTCCCCGACACGGGGGGACAGGGTCCGAATTTGACTGGGCTTGGGGGGGTGACAGGGGGTGACAGGGCTGGTGGGACAACGGGGGAAGGTGGAAGGGGGGGACGGGGCGGGGGGTACCTGAGAGCACCTGGGGGTGCCCAGGGTGTGAACAGGGCTGGGGGAGCTGGGAGGTGACAGAAAGTAAGAAGGCTGCAGCTGTCCAGGGGAAGGTGACAGGGCTGGGAGTACCTGGGGTAACTCAGGAAGGTGACAGGGCTGGGGGGGTCCAGAGGTCCCCGGGGCAGGTGACAGGGTTGGGGGTGCCCAGGTGAGGGCAACAGTCCCAGAGTACACAGGGGTACCTGGAGGTGCCTGGGGCAGGTGACAGGGGAAGGTGACAGGGTGGGGGTACCTGGTGGTACCCAGGGAATGCTGAGGGCAGGTGAGGGGGCTGGGGGTGCCAGGGGTGCCCAGGGCAGGTGACAGGGCGGGGTGCGGGGGTGGCAGGGCAGGTGACAGGGCTGGGGGTGTCAGGGGTGCCCGGGGCAGGTGACAGGGCCGGGGGTGGCAGGGGTGGCAGGGCAGGTGACAGGGCTGTGGGTGTCAGGGGTGCCCGGGGCAGGTGACAGGGCTGGGGGTGTCAGGGGTGGCAGGGCAGGTGCCGGGGTGGCACAGGGGACACTCACCGATGTCCCAGCCGAACACCGTGTGCACGTCGTAGCGCCCGAGGTCGCGGCCCCCCAGGGCCCCCGGCAGCGCCTCCCGCAGCCCCTGCTGCAGGGGGGTGGCCTTGTCCTTGTCCTTGTCCCTGTCCTCGTCCCCCCCCAGCGCCTCGGGGGGCAGGAAGGGCCCTGGGTAGCCCGGGGTCTCCAGCCGGGCCGTGGCGTTGATGTGCACGAGCTTCTGCCACGAGCTGTGCGCCCGCGGGGACGGGTCACCTGTGGGGACAGAGGGACATGTCACCTGTGGGGACAGAGGGGATGGGTCACCTGTGGGGACAGAGGGATTGGGTCACCTTTGGGGACAGAGCGGATGGGTCACCTGTGGGGACATAGGGATGGGTCCCCCTGTGGGGACAGTGAGGATGTGTCACCTTGGGGACAGAGGGGACATGTCACCTGTGGGGACAGTGGGATTGGTGTCACCACCTGTGGGGACAGAGGGAACTGTCCCTGTTTGGACAGAGGGACATGTCACCTGTGTGGCAGAGGGGATGTGTTCACCTGTGGGACAGATGGGATGTGTCACCTGTGGGAAGAGGGGATGGGTCAACTGTGGGACAGTGGGGATGTGTCACCTGTGGGGACAGAGGGACATTTCACCGGTGGGGACAGAGGGACATGTCACCTGTGGGGACAGAGGGGAGGGTCACCTGTGGGGACAGAGGGGATGTGTCACCTGTGGGGACAGAGGGGATGGGTCACCTGTGGGGACAGAGGGGATGGGTCACCTGTGGGGACAGTGGGACGGGTCACCTGTGGGGACAGAGGGGACATGTCACCTGTGGGGACAGAGGGGACGGCTCGGGGGACACCCATGGCACGGGGGAATGGCCTCGGGAGAACCAAGGGAGGGGCACGTGGGATGCTGGGAATGCTCCTCCTGGAGGGGGCTGTCCGGCCCCGGGTGTGGATGGGGCAGTGGGACCCGGGCTGTGTCCCCAGGGGTGGGGAACAGGTGAACTCCAGCCCCTGGGAAGCCCTTCCCAGCCCCAAGCGTCCCCTGATCTCGTGTCTCCAGTGGGATTCACCCCCCAGGTCTCACAGACAGGGACCTGGGGCTCGTGGGCACGGAGGTTGCTGTGGCAGCCGGTGGCCGGTCCCGGCCATGGGTGGGGCAGGGACCGAATTTGACTGGGCTGCACCTGTCCAGCACCACCTGTGGGACAGGTAACCCCCCCAGCACCACCTGTGGGACAGGTAATCCCCCCCCAGCACCACCTGTGGGACAGGTAACCCCCCCACCCCCAGGGCTGGAGCTCCTGGTGGATCCCTGGGTCCCAGCTGGAGGGCCCAGCCCCGTGCAGGTCCCTCCCCCCGTGCGGGTCCCTCACCTTGGAGGCAGGTGTGGAAGTCGGGGGTGAGCACCTGGCGCAGGTAGGGGGGCCGGGCCTGCTGCAGGACACACAGTGACCACACCACGTCCGTCAGCACGTGAGGATCCAGCTGCTGCACCTGCCCCTGGAGCTGCTCGTGGAGCTGGGACGGAGAACACGGAGGGGAGCTCGACCACACCCACGGGTGTGCCCGGGTGTCCCCGCTGGCCCCCAGGTGAGGCTTTAGGGCCCCTCTCAGGTGATCCCTCGCTCCCTCAATCCATGGATCCAGCCATCCAACGCCCCTTCCCCGTGGGAACGTGCCAGGAGAACATCTGTGCTCCGAGGAGGGGTGAGAGCTGGGGGGGCTCTGCCTGAAGGGGGAGCCGGGAGGGATTCGGGACACGGGAAGGGGGGGGAATCCATGGGGCCGGAATCCATGGCTGTGGGAAGCCTCTGAGGTCCCCTGCCCCCCCGAGAGCACCCCCAGAATCCCGGGATTCCCACAGAAGTCACCATGGTGAAGAATTCCTCGCCGGAGCTGGGCTGGAAGTTGAGGCGGGCGAAGGACACGACGATGGCACAGAGGTGGGCAACGGACATGTCCTGGGTGTTATCCAGGGAATACTGAGGGAAAAGGGACATGTCCTGGGTGTTATCCAGGGAATACTGAGGGAAAAGGGACATGTCCTGGGTGTTATCCAGGGAATACTGAGGGAACATGGACATGTCCCGGGTGTTATCCAGGGAATACTGAGGGAACATGGACATGTCCCGGGTGTTATCCAGGGAATACTGAGGGAACACGGACATGTCCCGGGTGTTATCCAGGGAATACTGAGGGAACACAGGAGTTTGGGGCTGTCTGAAACGGCCCCGGGAGGGAACAGCGGTAACACGAGCCAGGGACACCTCCCAGGTGGGGAAACAGGAGCGAGGGAGCCCTGGGGTTTTATCCAAGGGGAAGCTCTGGAATATTCCTGTATGGATGGGGAAGTGCACAAGAGATGAACTGGGAGGAAACTGGGAGAGGAGCAGCACCAGCACCCGGAGCTGGAGGCTCCAGACCAAGCTGATCCCTGATTGCTGCTGGGAAACAGTGACACAGCCTGGACAGGTGAGGGGTCCCCATTGCCCCCCTCTACCCCCTAGACAGGTGAGTGGAACCTCCCATCAGCTGTGCCCCCCCAGTCCCTGCTGGGAAACGGTGACACCACCCCTGACAGGGGAGAGGAACCCCCCAGACAGGTGAGAGGAACCCCCCAGACAGGTGAGTGATCCCCCCTGACAGGGGAGAGGAACCCCCCAGACAGGTGAGAGGAACCCCCCAGACAGGTGAGTGATCCCCCCTGACAGGGGAGAGGAACCCCCCAGACAGGTGAGTGACCCCCCCAGACAGGTGAGTGACCCCCCCAGACAGGTGAGAGGAACCCCCCTGAGAGGTGAGTGACCCCCCCAGCCAGGTGGGCATCCCCCAGCCCTCACCTGTGCGATGCCCTCGGCGAGGGGGCGGCTGAGCCAGCGCAGGGCAGCGAAGGAGCGGGCACAGCGCGACACCTGGGCAGGTGTGAGAGCCCCCAGGTGGGGCTGCAGCTCCAGGGACAGCCTGTGCAGCACCTGGGGCTGCTGGAAGTTCAGCTTACCTGGGCAGAAGGGCACGGCTGAGGGCCTGGGGGCACCTGTCCCCCAGTGCCCCCACCCCAGCCGGGCACCCAGCACACAGGTGAGAGCTGGGAATGGTCTCCTGGAGAAGGGAAGGCTCCAGGGAGACCTTAGAGCGTGCCTGGCACCAGTACAGACCAGTATGAGTCACCTCTCAGACCAGGACAGACTGGGAAGGCCTAGGGGTGGGGAATCCCCCCCCAGCTACCTGGTGCCTTGGGTGGAAACACCCCCCAGTTCACTTGAGCTCGGGGAGGAACTGGGGGTCACCGGGGGGGACTGGTGGCTCTGGGTGCAACTGGTGTCACTGGGAGGGACAAATGGCCCCAAGTAGCCCTGGTGTCTAAAGGGGCTCCAGGTGTGCTGGGGATGGAGGTGGGACACCTGGAGTGACAGGACACCTGGAACAGGCTCACACCGAGCTCCCAGGTGTGCTGGGGATGGAGCTGGGACACCTGGAGTAACAGGACACCTGGAGTGACAGGACACCTGGAGTGACAGGACACCTGGAATGGGCTCACACTGAGCTCCCAGGTGTGCTGGGGATGGAGCTGGGACACCTGGAGTGACAGGACACCTGGAACAGGCTCACACCGAGCTCCCAGGTGTGCTGGTGTTCGTGCCTGGAGCACACAGGTAACGTACAACGCCCCTGTTCCACCCCCAGGATCGGGATAACCCACTGGAGAAGAGCTCCTCAGGCTCCCTGGATTCCCTTCTCCCACCTGGCTGGAGAACAGCCCACACAAAGGTTTGGGACCTCAAAGCTCACCCGGCTCCCCCCACCTGCCACCGGCCTGGGTGGTTCCCAGCCCCATCCCACGGGATCCGTCCCCAAAGCCGTGCCCAGGTGCCCCCTGGCACTCACTGTAGGCGAAGAGCAGGTCAGTGAGCACGGGCAGCCCCAGCTCGGGGGGTTTCTGCAGCAGGTGGTAGGACAGTGCCCGCAGCAGGGGCACGCAGCGGCGCTGCTGCAGCGCCAGGGCCACGGCCACGCGCCGGATCTCGTCCACGTCCAGCTGCTCTGCCAGCTCCAGGGCCTGGGACAGGGCAGGGCACAGCTCAGAGGGATCCCCTCAGCACCCAGCTGCTCTGCCAGCTCCAGGGCCTGGGACAGGGCAGGGCACAGCTCAGAGGGATCCCCTCAGCACCCAGCTGCTCTGCAGCTCCAGGGCCTGGGGGGACGGGGCACAGGGGACAAGGGAGAGGGGATCCCCTCAGGGCTGAACCGCTCCACCAGCTCCAGAGCCTGTGGAAAGCAGGGCAGGTGAGGGGCAGCAGGAGAAGGGGGATCCCCTCGGGATTAAAGTGCTCCATCAGCTCCAGAGCCTGGCACAGGAGGACAGGGGACACGGGGGAGCAGAACAGGGGGGATCCCCTCGTGACCCAACTGCTCTGCCAGCTCCAGAGCCTGGCACGGGGGTGACAGGAGAGGGGGGAACAGTGCCCAGGTGTCCCACGTGCCCAGTCAGTGCCCGGGTGTGCGCGGGTCCCACCTTGTCCTCCAGGCGCTCCATGAGGGCGGGTGCCAGGTGTCCCACCTTGGCCATGAGCGTCACCACGGTCCGTGTCCCCTCCAGCTCCGTCCAGCGCAGCTCCAGCTTGCGCAGCACCTCGGGCAGGAGGGGGCTGTCCCTGTGCCCCGCCAGGTGCTCTGCCAGCTGCACCAGCTGGCGCAGGGGGAGCCGCCGCAGCCGCCACAGCACCTCCTGCTCCACCGAGCGGACCTGGCGCCCGGCACGGGGCAGCCCCAGCGCGGGCAGTGCCCGCAGCACCTGCACCAGCGTCGCGTTCCACACCTGGGAGATCTGCGGCAGGGACAGCGGGGGACAGCTGGGGACACCCGGGACATCGGGGACAGGGGGGGACAGCTGGGGACACCCGGGACATCGGGGACAGGGTGGGACAGCTGGGGACACCCGGGACATCGGGGACAGGGTGGGACAGCTGGGGACACCCGGGACATCGGGGACAGGGACAGTGTGGGACAGGTGTGCCACACCCGGGACATCAGGGACAGGGGACGGGGACAGTGTGGGACAGAGGTGGAACAGGGACACCAGTATCGCGTTCCACACCTGGCAGATCTGGGGGACCCAGGGGACAAGGCCAGGGGAGGGACGGGGCAGCAGGGGAGGGACAGGGGCAGCAGGGGAGGGACAGGGGCAGCAGGGGAGGGGGTTTGGGGCACGGGCTGTCCCGCTGAGCCCCTCCCGGGTGTGCTCTGAGCAGCCAGCCAGGCACTGCAGTGCCCAGGGCCCTGTAGAGCGGTGCCCCAGCCCTCCCAGGTGGGGCAGGCCCAGCCCCGAGCCCCCCGTGCCCCGTCCCACCTGCCCGTCCAGGGTGTCGAGCAGCCGCAGCAGCCGGGGGTCCCCGCGGAGGGCCGGCGCCTCGGGGTGCCTGTGGGCGAGGCGGGCGAGGCGGGCGATGGCCATGCCCGCCAGGTTGCTGCTCAGCCTGTGCCCCCCGCACAGCTGCAGCAGCTCCTGGGGGTCGGTGGCTCCCTGGATCAGCTCCCGGAGCTGCTGCTCCGGCCCCTCCTCCCGCGGCTGCGCCTGGGGGGTCTCGGCCCACCGGGGGGGGCCGGTGCGCAGGGGGCGGGGGGCGGCCGCGGGGGGGGCCCTGCCCGGGCCGGGGGCGGCCCCGGGGGGCGGCCGGGGGAGCCCGGAGGGGCCCGGGAGCAGCAGGCGCCGGCAGCACCGGCGAACGAGGTGTGCGGCCATGGGGGCACCGCGGCCGTCAGAGCCACATCCCGGGGGGCTGCAGGGGAAAGGGAGCGCTTGGAACTGCCGGGGGGGGAACCGGCCCCCAGACTCCCCCAGAGCTCCTCGGAGCCGCTCCGGGGGGTCTGGAACACTCCCAGCCCCTCCCCAGGGATGCGGCCCCACATTCCCAGTGCTCCCAGTATCCCCCCAGTAACCCTCCCTGAGCCCCCCTGCTCAGCCGCTGCCCGGGATGTTCTCCACCGGAGCCTCCCCGGATCACGCTCTCCCGGGGATATTTTCCCTCAGACCCTCACCCCCCCGGTCCCCGGACACCCCCCCGACCCGTCCCCTCCACCCGCCCGTGCCGAGCCCCCCCGGTCCCGGTTCCCCTCCTCTGTCCCCGGGTCCCGAGCACCCCCGGGACTCTCCCTTCGGGCCCCCTCGGGCCGAGCCCACCCCGCACCGCCGGGCCTGGTTCCCGTTCCGTCTCTCTCCCCGGGGCCCTGCTCAGCCCCGCGGGCCGAGGCCCCCCGATGCCGTTCCCCCGCTCCCCCGGGCCCCGGTTCCCCCCTCAGCCCCGACCCCACTCCCGTTCCCCTCTGACCTCTCCCGCCCAGCCCCGCGCACGGGCCGCCACCGAGGCGCGCGGTGATGACGTCACAACAGCGCGCCTGCTCCGCACCGGCCGCTCCTGCGTCATCAGCCGGCGCCGGCGCCACGTGCGGGGAGGGGCGGGAGCGGGGCCGCCCCCGGTACCGGGGGGGCTCTGGGGGGTCCCCTCGGGGTGTCCCCCTGTGCTCCCAGTGCCCCCCAGTGCCCCTCGGAGACCCTCCCAGTGCCCCCCAGTGCCCCTCGGAGACCCTCCCAGTGCTCCCAGTGACCCCCGGGTGCTCCTCCAGTGCTCCCCCGATGAGTTCCCGGTGCCCCCCCCCAGTTCCTCCCAGTGCTCCTCTCGCAGCCCCCAGTGCCTCCCAGTGGCCCCCTCAGTGTCCCCCACATTTCCCCCCGTGCCCCCGAGGGGGGTCGTGTGTTACTGATCAAATATCGGTTATCGATCCCTGTGCACTATTGATCGTTTATTGGCATCCATAACAAACTCCCCGGGGCCGACACGGGCGGGGTGGCCGAGAGGGGGATGGGGTGTCCGGGGGGGCTCCTCGGGAGGGTCCCAGCTCGGGGGGCTCCTCAGCGCCGGGTGAAGTCCCCTCCTGCGGGACAGGGGGGTTCAGGGGGGGCCGGGGCGCCTTGGGGTTCCCCTCCCCAGCCCCTGAAGCCCCCCCAGCTACCCAAGGACCCCTCCAAGACCCCCTACCCCCGAAAGGCTCGCGGTGGCAGTGTGTGATGCGGGGCTGTGTCCCACCCCTCTGCTCGGACACCCAGGACCTCCCCAGGATCCCCCCGTGCACCCCGGCACCCCCTCGACCCCCCGGGACCGCCCCACCCCTGCAGGGCTCGCAGTGACACTGGGGGCGACGCGGGGAGCTGAGTCCCCCCCGTGACCCTCCGGGATCCCTCGGGACCCACCCCAGGACCCTTCAGGAACCCCCCCCGTAGGGCCCACCTCCAGGACCTCCCCCCCGGGGTCTCGCAGTGGCACTGGGCCATGCGGGGCTGTGTCCCCTCCCCCAGGACCCCCCGGGCCCCCCGTACCCCCTCCCCCAGGACCCCCCGGGCCCCCCCGTGCCCCCCCGGACCCCGGCAGGGCTCGCAGTGGCACTGGGCGATGCGGGGCTGTGTCCCCCTCCCCCAGGACCCCCCGGGCCCCCCTTGTCCCCCCCGGGGTCTCGCAGTGGCACTGGGCCATGCGGGGCTGTGTCCCCTCCCCCAGGACCCCCCGGGCCCCCCGTACCCCCTCCCCCAGGACCCCCCGGGCCCCCCCGTGCCCCCCCGGACCCCGGCAGGGCTCGCAGTGGCACTGGGCGATGCGGGGCAGCAGCGCGGGCCGGGGGCGGCCGCGGGGGCAGGGCAGGAGGAGGGGGCGCACGGGCCGGGCGGGGTCCAGGCGGTAACTGCAGCACTCGCACAGCGACCGCACGTACGGCTCCTGGGGGGCACGGGGGGGTCACACAGACCGGGGGGGGCACACAGACCAGGGGGATCCCCCGGGCACACCGGGCTCCCCGCACAGCCCTGCACCCCCCCGCCCCCTGCCCCGAGCCCCCCGCCCGGGCTGCGCAGAGGCGGCTCCTGGGGCGGGGGGGGTCACACGGATCTGGGGGTCGCACCCGCCCCCCCCACCCCCGAGGGCTGAGGGCGGTGCGGGGGCGACACCCCCACACCCGGGGGTCCCACTCCACCACACCTAAGGGTCTCACTCCCCTCACCCGGGGGTCCCACCGGTCTCCCCCCTCCCCCGGGGGGTCCCACCAGCCCCCCCGCACCTGAGCGCTGACGGCGGTGCGGGACCGACACCCCCCCGCGCAGTAGGTGACGCGGACGCCCCGCAGGACACAGGCGCCCTTGGCGATGGTCCGGAGAGCCGTGAGGAGCCGGCACGGCCCGGGGGGCTCCTCTGGGGGGTGAGGGGGCGGCGTGAGCGGGGGGGGGCTGCCAGGGCCGTCCCCTCACCCCGCGGTCCCCAGGTGCGGGGTCTCACCTGGCCACTCGTCCCGGCACACGGGGCAGCAGCTCCCGGGCTCCCGCACCGGCTCCGTGCCCTGCGGGGACCCCGCGCTCAGCCCCTGCCCGCCGGGACACCCCCGCGCCCCCCCGGGACCCCCCTCACCTCCGGGCAGGTGAGCGCGGGGCAGGTGGTGGCACAGGTGACACGTCCCTCGGCGCAGCGGCAGGTCCCGCACTGCTCCTGCCACTCGCTGTCGGCCTGGGGGGGGACAGGAGCAGGGACCCCAAAACACGGGTCAGGGACCCCCCAAAACACGAGGTAACTTCCCAAACCCGAGGGATCCCCCCAGCACGGGGTGCCCCCCTAAACATGGGTCAGGAACCTCCAAACACGGGTCAGGGACCCCCCTAAAGCATGGGGTAACTCCCAAACCCCAGGGACCCCCCCAGCACTGGGTGCCCCCTAAATACGGGTCAGGACCACCCCCCAGACATGGGGTAACCACAAACATGAGGGATCTCCAAACACAAGGAACCCCCCCCAAACGGATCAGGGACCCCCAGACACAAGGGACCCCCTCAGAACCGGGATACCCCCCCGGACACGGCGCCGGGAACCCCCAAACGCAGCAACCTCCCACCATGGATCGGGAACCCCCAACCCCAGGTCGGGGACCAACCCCCGACACAACCGCGGGACAGAGACACCCAAACACGGGGTGTTCCCCCGAACATGAGGGATCGCCCCCAGCCCCGGGTCAGGCCCCCCCGCCGCTCACCGCTCGCGTTGCCCCGCGGTGGCGGCACCCGCAGCCCCCCGCGCTCACGCACTGCCCGGATTCGTTCCGGTACCGCCCGGGGGCGCAGGAGCAGCGCGGGGCGGGGGTCGGGAGGGTCGCGGGGGTCGCGGGGGTGCTTGAGGTGCCGGGGATGCCGGGAGTTCCGGGGGTCCCGGGGGTGCCGGGGGTCCCGCCGCAGGTGCCGGGGGGCTCCGCCAGGTCGTGGCAGCTGCGCTCGCAGGCGGGGCCGGGGTCCAGCCAGACCTCTCCCGGGGGGCAGCCTGGGGGCACCGGGGATGGCACCGGCACCCGGCCCTCCCTCCTTCCGGCTCTCCTCCCTCCACCCCTCCCTCCCCCGGCCCTCGCTCCTTCCATTGCCCCG